GAAGCAGCTCACAGAGTGGGACTTAAGGGTTTTGTTTTTTTTTAAAGCTTTTTAATTTTCAATCATATATGGTTTTCTATCCCTATTTACTAAAACTGTGGTCTCTGGTGTACATTACATAATAAGCTCATTAAAACATAACCAAAAGGGTCCAGAGGGCTCAGAAAAGGAGTCAGGAAAAAAAAACAAACCAAGATCCAAAGAGCTTCAGACACCCCCCCCCACCCTCACCCCCACCCCTTCGATTGGAATGGGACAACTCACCAACTTGCCACGGGACAACATGCTGTCGGACAATTTAACAATTCTATTTAATTATTTTAATATATATATATATTAATATTTTATATATTATTTTATATAATATATTTAATAATATTTTATATATTAATTTTTGCCATTCACATTTCATTCTGTCCCTCCTCTTGCATCCTTTCTTTAACGATTCTATTCCTCCGTCTCTTTGATATTAGGGTGACTCTGGTCCCGCGCTGAGTTTTTCCTAGGCCCCTCCCAAACAGTTCAGTTCAAAGTGTGTGTGCTTACAGGCTTCACAGAGACATTCATTTAGATACCCATGAGCAGCATTGGCCCTTGGAGTGATCCAGATTATGCAGCGGCACAAAAGACGTCTTGCGACAGCATTATAAGTCGGATGGATCTTTACTGTAAGCAATATAAGAGTGAATGCAGCCAAATCTACCAGCCGACACACGCCTGGCAGGCAGGAACTTCTCCCTGAGGATGGGGGGCCCCGGCGGAAGAGTGAAGCCCTGGTCCCCGTGACCGACCCAGACGGTGGTTTAAATCTTTTGATAAGAACGGTCAAGAAAAAACGCCCTTTGTGCAGAATTAAGTGTGCCTTAGCCATTGGGCTTCAGCAAGGTGCGACTTTAGTGGGACTTTAGCTGGAAGCCAACGGGGGCCTCCTACCATTTCATGTAAATCACAAAAGGGCAACTTTCAGCAGTTCTTTGTTTGTTCCCATCCCCATCCGTGCAAAAGAGCTCGAAAATTGAGCTGCTGGGAGGCCAAGTGCCCAGTAACAGGAGCCCCTCCAGCACCCAAAAGTCAAATCCGGCTCCCAGCTAGACAAAAGTTGTGCTTCCCCCCCCCAAAAAAAATCCAGGCACATATACCCAAACGTAATCTCATAACCTGCGGATGGAACTTACTTTTAAGTAAGCATTCATAAACACAAACAGTTGTTTTATAAAAATCCCTTCCAATCAGTCTTCCCCTTAATGAGTGTTTCATGTGGTCGGAGGGAAATTGACAGAAGGAGAAAGAGGTCAGCTTCAGAAATTACCATCATTTTGTTTACTTGATAGGGTTTTAAATTTATTAAGAACAAATGGAAAGGGAAAGAAAGAAATGGATATATAATTTATTGAGAGTAAAAAGAAACTAGGATATATTTATGTAACAGCACAAATGAAATTTAATTTAGTAATTGAGAATTGTTGTAAATCAAGTGTATTTAATCAGTATAAAGTCAATTTCAATAAACATGTACTTTGCCTCTTTCTTAAAAAAAATACTGTTCTTAGCATTTCTCACAGCTGCTTTTGTGTTGCATTTTATGAGGTTTTGGATCATTGTGTGAAAATATAAATATTAACCGAAGTTCTGATTAGAGTTGGGCAATGAAACAAACAAGGGAAATATTATTAAAATCAGATGTGTCTCATATCAGAATAGAAAATGGGCGAGGGCCAGTCTGTGTGTCAGGTTGACATGGCGCAGCTTTCATTTATTGTTTCAACTCTGAAGGAAAGCTTGTCTTCACAGCCACACAGGCCAACTTCCTTTTATTTGTGCAGACCATAATCAAGTAGTAAAGCAGGCCAAGTAGCTTACTCAGAACCAAGCAGGCAGAAGGTCGGACCCAGGCAAGGCGCCCCAAACGGGCCTACAAGACGGGCCGAGCTCAGTGGGCCTGGCGGTGCGGGAGATGAATCCGGGGGGGGGGAGGAGGAGGATGGGCAGGTGGCCCGAAAACCTTCCTCTTTGCCTCCCTCTCTAGTTAGAGAGCTGGGCGAATGAATGAAAGGAGCTGCTCCCAAGCTCTGCGCTTGAGGGATGTGCGCTTCCGCCATGGGATGCAGAGGGAGAAAAGAGAAAAGAAATCAAAGATCAGCAGCCGAGTGCTAAAGCACAACCGGGAGAGTTTGGGTAGAAAACTCGCTTTCCCAGAAGGCTCTCTCTCTCTCTCTCTCTCTCTCTCTCTCTCTCTCTCTCTCTCTC